TAACTGATCCGCAATCACGAAGGCGCATTCGCCGTGAAATTCCAATATGGCCCCAGGCCAATCATCCACTCAACTCCAATTACAGATCCTCGTACTTGCACCGACGATCCCGGCCGTCACATGCTAATTTCCGCCACTGCGATCGTCACCCCGCTGGCGCAGACTCGACTCTGCTCGCCCGGATCCCACAGTCCGTCATGGCGATCAAGCGCAGCCGTCCAGCCTACAGTCAGCCCGACAGGGCTTTTTGACTCGCAACAAACGCATCACCTAGCCACTGCTTCCCGGAAGCTGGCTTGCGGGTGGAAAACGTAAGAGAGGTTTGCCGACACGCTTGCAGAATTTATAGTTGCGAGAAAGGAGATAGATGGGGGAGAAGACAGAGGAAAGATCGAGGTGTAAGGGGGGAAGGTTCAGCGAAAGGTGCTTAAGGGAAGCCATGTTGATCCTTCGGAACCCGGTTTTCAGCCAATCGGATTCGTCGCACAATAGGAAGATCCTCTTGTTCAACGCGCCTGATTGGTGAGTCGGGGTAATCGGAGGATCAACCGGGCTTCGCGAGCCAAGGTTGAAGAGCGAGAAGAGACGAGGCGTGAAAAGCAGCGCGAGACGGGTCCAAGATTCAGATAATCAAGAAGGGGAAACGGGCGCGCAAAAAACGGAGAGAGAAAAAAAAAAAACAGTTGCGATAGGAGAAGAGGAGGAGAGGGAAGGGAGAGAGGAGAGAGGGCGGGGGAAGAAGGATGCAGGAAATAAGGAGGAGGAAGCTTCACATGCGTGGCGCCGATAACATGAGAAAAAGGCACCAAAACAGTTATAGCTTGCCTATGTCCTACACTAATTCAGAAATTGAAATCGCCATATCCGCGCGCGAAAGTCGGCGTGGGAAAAGAAACTCCTATGCCTGTCTTTATTCTCACAAAATTCCTAAAGCTTTCTCCGACGTGACCGAGAACATTCATGCAAGGAAAAAGATACGTCGGGCTCCGCTTATTCCGTAATTCCTAATTGTCGAGCCCGATTCTAAGTGCGCTCGCTAAGGCGCGCGTAATTTCCCATGCATTTTCCGAATTACAAAAAGCAGAATTCCTAGAATCAATAGAACTTCGAAAAAAATGGGGGCCAAAACAAGGTGCCTGAAATCAAGAAAAGCGACGGGGTTTTTGTGGGGTCGGTATCATACAAGAAGGGGGGGGGTATTGAGTCAAGGGGTACGAAAGATAGCGCAGGGTCGGGAAGTGGTTCGTCACATATGTGACGCACAGGGGGTTCCAAAATTATGCGATCTCCTGATTTTATGAAAGCTCCAACAAAGGAAGTAGGAAGAGACGAAGAAGTAGGAAGAAGTAAGAGGAACGAGGGAAGTATGAGGAGACGAAGAAGCATGAAGAAGTAGGAGTTCGGGTTTGCACGATGAGCTGGCGACAACATCCGTGGCAAAATCTTCATGAAGCATGCCGGCTCGTGGTGTTTCGGATCTCGTTCCCTGCAGTCCGGTCATATGCAACCCCCTGTCCCCCAAACTTTGGAGATCGTCCAGGTGGCACCATCATGGTCCATCAGATCTCCGTGTGCTCTGCGCCCCTAGTCCAGCGCAGTCCATCAAATCAGAGCATAAGTTGACGTCATCGTCAATGACGTGATCTTCACGAAACTACGGATTCGTACCGCCCGGAGGACTCGTGGCGGGTATCAACGCCGTGTGGGAATAGGAAAGTGGACATTATACAGGGGGGGGTGTCGACGGGGAGGGTTGGAGGGAAGTGGGGGCAAGTAACGGTTCATCCCATCCTCTGTGATCGGGAGTTCCTCGTAGCGGATGATCCGGTGAAAGCGGGAAAACCGATCGCCACTGTGAGGGAGGGAGGCGAGGTAGTCAGGGTAAAGGGTGGAGAAAGTGCGGAAGAGTGCCGCGCGAAACAGCTCATGATGGCGGCATGTGGGGATGGTTCCTGTGATTACGCAGTAGACTTCTACTGCGTTGCTCTGTTCCCACGCGACACTGAACAAGAGGACGTGTAAACAGAACGTGGGGTTTGCGGATTGAAGGGACGGGTGGGGATGGACGGTGACGGCGAGACGGGTGGAGTAAAAGTGACGGAAGGTATTGGGAAGAAAGGGTTTGCGAGGGAAGGTGACAGGGGTAAAGATCTGGCAAAGGGTGAGGTAATCAAGGGAACGGTGGAATAATGACCGGGGACAAAGGCCGATTCCCCGCATCGGTGCGTGGACGAACTGGGGGACGGGTTGGGGTGGAGGGGGAGGGGGATCGGCTCCGTCTCCGTTGCGATGCGCTCGGAGCCGCGGTTGCTGATCCGCCAACTTCGGGCTCGGGGGGATCTAGATTCCTGGTTGGGTCGTCGTTGATGCGCAGGCTCGCCCCGCTGGCGAATTCCAGCTGGCTTTTCCCGGCGGCGATCTCTTCCCTTCTACGTGCTGCTTCGGGATCTTCCGCCTCCGTGCATGTGCACGCCGCTGCTTCCGGCAAGGCCTCCCACTCCGATCCCGCTTCCTCCTCTTCGTCTTCTTCTTCTTCTTCTACCTCCTCCTCTTCTTCACTCGGCTCCCCTTCGCCGTACTCACTATAACTTCCCTCCTTCGACATTTCTTCGTCGGTGTCACCCTCTTCTTCGGTGGCTTCTACTCCTCCTTCAAGCACCTCCTTAGGTTCTTCCTTCGGATAGAAGGTGTGATCGATGATCCCGTACGGCTTCAAGTACTCCTGCCGCGATGGCAGAGTGCTTTCACTCTCGGGTTCTTCTAAGCAAGCAGTCCACTGAAGATACGGTGCTAATGTCTGCGTGATGACGTGCGGAGCGGGACTGTCGTCGCTTTGCGAAACGATGTCGAGGGAAAGATCATCAACCAGTTGCGCGAACAGGACGACGAGTTCTTGAGTAATTGGCTGGCGATGGTCTGGCCGCACCGATCCGAAGAGGAAACCGAGAAGATCACCTTCCACGTCCGTTCTCCAAGCCTGCAGGAGCAACAGCTCCAGGTTCTTGATGCACGCAAGATGCTCGCTGGTCCGCGTCCACGTCACCTGCACTCGAGCCGAACACACAGATAGATCGACAAAGGTCTCACGCCACACCTGCCAATGGCCGAGGTCGAGGAGCGGGACGGCAAGAGGCTCGAACAGGAAAGAAAGGCGAGGATGGAGATCGGATTGCCAGAAGGTGGGAAAAAGAGAGGGGAGACCAAAGGTGGAGAGAGGAGCGAGAGGAGGGGCGCGGTTCATTGGGGGCGTTGGAAGGGGATGAGGGTGGGGAGCACGACTGCCGGCTGGCGCGGTGAGGTGCGAATTCCGTCGAAGTCAGTCCCGGACGTCGAGACTAGATTGTTCCCCGGACGCGCAAGATCGTGCTGCCACTCGTCCGACAACTGCTGCATCCACTCTCGTAAAGAGGTCAAGATCGCGATATGCCTAAGTGGGCTGACCACGCTGATGTCGCCTCTGAAGGCAGCGACCGTAGTGACGTGGCCCGTCCCTGGAGCCGCTCGTCAATGAAGAGCCACCACCTCCGCCAATACCACTGCCTGCTGACACAAATGGTTAACGGGGACCCCCACTTTTCGGCCCTGGGTAACGATGGATGGCCTTATGGTTTTCTTATAAATTGAGGTGAAAAATGGGGGGTCGGTTAACCTTTTTTCCCTGCTGACTCTCGGCGAATCGGAACGCAGCAGCGGCACACACTCCCTCGGTGCAGAAGAACTGCGCCACTCTTCAAAGATCAAGACTGAGCCGCAGATGACAAACTTGCCGGATCTTAGAGATGTAGCCACGTGGCTGCAGCAGATGATCGCCAAGAGCTTGCTCCGTGATGAAACTCATGGTGAGGACGGGGAAGAAGATGAAAGAGGGGAGCAGAAGGGAGAGAACGAGGCGGGAACTAAATCGTCGTCGCCCTCTTCTTCAGCAGAGGAGGGAGAGGGGGGGAGATCAGAGGGAGGGAGGGGACAAATGTAAGAGGTATGTCGGACGATGGGGACAGAGCTATGGCTGGCTTGCCTCGGGCGCGATGCGCACCGTGTTAGCACCGTTGGGTCTGAGCTCGACAACGTGGAAACAACCAGATAACTTGGGAGCGAGTTTCCGGTCGCGTGCACATTTACGTACCTATACCAGGTCCCCTAATTTATATTGATGTTGGGGACCGACATTCCCATTTCGGGCCTCGTAGCTATGGACTTGCCTTCCGTGGGCTAGATCAGTCATTTTTTGTCTTTTTCGGGCTAGCTTCGGAACGGCCCTTTCCATTAAATCGGCGTACCTTTTGGCCTTGGCCTTAAGGGCGGCACGCGTGTCTCTACCCCCTGCTTCGGCAATTTCCGAGTTGCCCCGGTAATCGGCATATGGGAGGCTATTGGTCCGAAGCTGGAAGGGGCTGAACCCCGTGGATTCATGAGGGGTGGCCCGGTGCATTCCAACGATTTGGTATACGATCTCGAGCCAAGGACGCGTGTCATGCGCCGCTAAATTTCTACGAAGGGCAGTCTTAATCATGCGATTGGCATTTTCGGCCAACCCGTTCGACTGAGAAACGTAGGGTGCCATGTATCGAAGTGTAATGCCTCGTCGTGCGAGTAATTCCTCTACCTCGCCTTTGAATTCGGACCCATTGTTGGTTAGAATTTCCTCCGTATCTTGGTGAGTATAGAGAAACCGATCGATGTATGTGGCTATCTCTGCGGCCTTACGGGTCTTGCAGGGGTATACCTCGATGTATTTGGAAAAATGGTCTATTAAAACTAAAAGGATGGAATATTCGCAACGGTTTGGGCCAGGTGGCACGTCGATATCTGTCGTGTTCATACTGACTCGCTGGAAAGGGCGCTCTACTTTTGTTGGTACTATCGTGTTTGGTCCTCGTATTGGGGCACGATCGGCGGCACATACTAAACAGTTGGCGACTACGTATCTGACATCGTCCCGTATATTAGACCTGAACCATCGATTCTGATCTATAGTTGCCTCCGTGACACATATCGCGAAGTGAGCGGCCTTCTCTTCGTGAGCAGATCGGGTCCAATCATATCTCGGGAATGGATGGGGAACCGTCAACCACAAACCCGATCCGTCATTTTTACGCTTTTCTAGGTGACCGTTGATCCATCGGTAATCCCGAAATCTCTCAGTAGCCCGACGTCTGTCGTGCTTAGGGAGATGGTCCAATGGTAAACCAGCCAGCTTAGCTAATAGGATTTTATCCGTCCAGACCTCTGCTCGTCGGTATTTTTCGTCGTATTCTGGGCCGTCCGTACGGGCAGCCTCAAATCGAACCTCAATAGGCAGTTTGTCCGTTCTACACAAAGGGCATTTTCATTCCCTACTATTTGTTCGGTATCGAACGCATGCACCGTGTGCACGATTGACACACGTGGCACACTTCACCCACTCAACGAATCCGGTCTCAAAAGGATGACAATTCACCTCATGTACCCGTGTAATAGACGTGCAAAAATAACAGAATCTGTCGGGAAGGGTGGCAAAGAAGGCCGAGCTGGCGAGAGGGCCGGAATCAGCAGGGGAATAAGGGGTCGCAGAGACGATGGGGTAGTCATGATGAGAGAGGGGAATAGAGAGTGAGCAGGGCTGCAGAAAGGGCAGAGCGAATCTGCTTGTTGCTCACTCTTTCGACAGAATTTCCACTTGTCTGTACCGTGGTCCGCTCTCCTCCTTCGGCTCGTTCCAAGGAATCACCTCCTCGCTCTTGAGGACCTTCTCGGGTCTGTGCAGTCGTGTCAATCCGTCAGCATTCCCGTGCCTCTCGTGCTTCCGATGACGAATGTCAAAGTCCATGCTCTGTAGCACAGTTGCCCACCTCCCGATCATACCCGAGTAATCCTTAGATTTCTTCAGGGCTAATAATGGCTCATGATCGGTGACTAGTGCGAACTTCCGTCCATACAAATAGGCTCGAAAGTGACTGATTCCCCACAGAGTCGCGTAACATTCTCCTGTCGGGGCGGCGTAGTTGCGTTTGCAGGCAGGCACCGACTTAGACGCGTATTCTACCACGCATTCGACTCCGCCAGGTCCCACCTGAGCCAAGATCGCTGAGATTGCCTCCAGCTGCCAGTCCGTGATAAGGACAAAAGGCTTCGCAGGATCTGGTCTTATAAGGATCGGAGCCGAAATGAGGGTTGCCTTGAGTTTCGAGAACGCTTGATCACACTCTGGCGTCCACATCAACAACTGATCCTTTTTCAGCAAATTCGTAAGGGGACCCGCAATACTCGCGAAGCCTTTGATAAACCGGTAGTACGAGGCCAAACCCAAAAAAGCGCGAACTTGCGTGATAATCGTGGGCACAGGTGCGTCTCTCACGGTTGCCACCTTTTGCGGTTCCAGTCGGAGTCCCTGGTCTGTCACCACGTGTCCCGGAAAGGAAATGGTGGTGAGGAAGAACTGACATTTCTCAAGCACCACCTTGAAACCGGCATCTCTCAATGCATGCAGCGTCCATTCGATGTGCTGCACATGCCCTTCATAGGAACTTGAATACACCAGAATATCATCCATGTACACAATCACACAATAATTGATGATGCTCTGCACCAGTTGTGTCTTCCGCACAAAGTTCTGAAAAACCATATTTATGGCTCGCTAGAAGGTTGCTGGAGCATTGCAGATGCCCATTGGACATCGAACCCATTGCCAAGTACCTTCGAACAACACAAACGTCATTTTCGGACGGTCCTCCTTTCGAACAAGAAGATGATGAAACCCATGTCGAACATCAAACTTACTGAAAAATCGAGCGCTCTCGATCGCATCCAACAACTCATCAATCCCGGGATGGGGATACACATTTTTTATCGTGATATCATTCAGTTTTCGATAATTGATGCATATGCGAATCCCTCTGGCCTTTTTGGGCACGATTATCACAGGAAACGACCAAGGTCCTATTGCGGGTTCGATCCATCCATCAGCCTCGAACTCCTTGATTCGCTGAAACGCGGTCGCCCGTTGGGCTGGCGAGTATCGGTAGGGAACGCAACTAATGGGTGGATGATCCCCCGTAAGGATGACATGCTCAATCACGTTGGACAGTCCGATATCGTTGTCGTGCACACTTAATACTTCTACGTATCCATTCAAAACGTTAATCAGAGATTTTCGAAATTTCAGGGGGACGTGATTGGGCAGAGTGACAGTCGGTTGATCGGGTATCGCAAGGGGTATGTCGATCCAATCATCAGGCCGATTCCGTTGGTCATGGACGCTAGAAAAAATAGAGTTGCTAGAGCGGACAGAAAACACAGTCGCGATCATCTGGGATTCAGCGGGGCTAATCATCTCGGTCTCCTTGACTTCGGTGTCAGTTTCTGAATCAGCCGAGGTTTCTTCTACCGTTAGCCTTGTTAGATCCACCATTTCCTTCATCAGATCAGGCACATTGTCTACAGGAGCTTCGGCTTCTTGTTTAATCAGAGCGATGGTCGCTCCTGTCTTAAGCAGTGACCTTGGAGGGGAAACAAAAACATCCTGGTACTGTTTCACCTGTTGATAGCATGCTCGAAGGGAAAGTGTTCCCTCGTACAAAGTGCGAGGGGGTTCCAAATCGTCTGTCAAGTCAGATATTTGCAAGATGGGTTCTCCGAGAAAGGTTGAAGGACTGATTCGAGTTTTCGAAAGTGCGAGCGCGTTGTCTTCCAGACTCGAGTGGAAGGTTCGGGCGGTTCTGGGAACCATCGAAAATTTCTCGGGGGTTTCATTCTTAAGAAGTTCGACCAAGTGTTTCCATTGACTCTCGCTGGGCATCTCTTCCTTGCAATCCTGTTCTTCGAATCCGCTACTGTTATTCGGGGATGAAAATTCCTCGTGATCGGGACCTTGAATCATCCCTATCCGAGCAGGATTAGGATTCCTTTTTACTGTTCCGGTTGAAATTCGCAACGGAACTGTCTGAGGTTTTCGTCCTGTTTGTGTGAACACCAACTGTTTGGAATCAAAATGCAGGCGGGCACCTACCGCCATTGCCCAAGGCAGTCCTAACAACACCGAATATGAGTGCACATCTATGACCAAGGCGTTCACGAGGACGTGTACTCGTCCAACTTTCACGGCCACATTCTCGATGACTCCTACAATATTTATTGCTTCCTCGTCGGCAGAGACATAATGGTCCTTGCCAGATTGAGGGAGAATCGAGTTGAGTCGTCCCGTTCTTTTTACCGTGTCTAATGATATAGCAACCGCAGAGGAGCCGGTATCGATGAGAGCGTTAAAATGTTTGCCCCATATCTTGCAATCACATTCAACACTTTTCCACAACACTGGTCGAGCTCGCACGAAGTGGTCTTTCTCAACTAAAGAAATCGCAGCTACTCGCGCTGCTTTGGGTTCACCAACTTCGGGTTCAGGCGATGTAACCTCCTCCGCTCCTTCTTCCTTCTTCTTTTTCAACATTCGTTGTATGCGCTGGTATGTAAAGCGCTTTTGATTCTTCTGACATTGTTGCAACAGCTTGTCATTCGCTGCTTCGGATAAGGTGAGCAAATGCCCCACAGGGACCGGAACGCGGATGTCCAGCTGCTTAAGCGTTCTTAGTACATCGATTTTGCCCGTCCGAAATTGTGGTCTGGGGTTAGATTCACGCTCGACCCATTCAAGATCGTTCTGGGCTGGTCAGATTGCTCCGATCATTCCGGCGAGATGAAGGTATTCGAGTGGATCGACCACGTCAGCAGCATCGGAAGAAGAAGTTCCCGAGGTCAATGCATCTGCCATTGAGGGGGAAGGGAACTCAGGGGCGTACGCAACGACCTCCTCACTTCGGGCCGTATCCATTAGTGCGGCCACTCATCCTTGATTCAAAGCTAGGGGGGCTGCGGCAGGTGGGGGTTGATTTCGTTTCGGCAGCGAACAGTCCCGGGCAAAATGCCCGGGCTGTTTGCAATTGTAACACTCGATTTTCCCTGCCAGGTTGGCTGCGTGAGGGAACTGCGGTGCGTGTCCAAATGCAGGCGGAGCAGGCAAGAGCGGGAACGGTGCAGGGGCAGGTTTGGCAGGAGCCGGGTCGGGCTTAATTAGTCTGCTCATTATTTGTTCCATTCGATCCATGTGAGCCGCTTGCATTTGGACCAGATTGCTCATCCATTCAGATTGTTTGGTGGTAGCTGTATGGATCATTTGTGCCAAGTGCATGTTTGTTATGGCCATAGGGGAGAAATCTTGGGAGCTTCTGGGTTTAACAATTGCTACCTGTTGATTCATTGAGAGAGTTGGGGGAGGGGGAACTGACGGGATATCAGAGGCAGCCCCCTCGGGAAGGTCATGATCAGGCCGGGGATAGAATCGCTCCACCGCTCCTAACCACGATCGTCTTTTAGCCACTACATCCTGAATCGTGTCCGTAATGTCTTCGTCTCGCTGACTGATATATTTCTTTGTATTCGTCAGGTCTAATTCAAGTGTTTTTGTGATGATAGCGGATAGCTGGTGTGTTTTAGGGGGGACCTTTTTCTGCAGCTTACCTTTTAACGTCAGACTTCGTAGATGATCGATGAGCAAGTCTCGGGTAGATGATCGATAATAACGTAGTTTGGAATCGATCCACGAAGTCAGGCAACAATTCCCCTGGTCCCTGAGGTCGAGTCTTGAGCACATACCAGGCGGCATCTTCACTGACCGTATCAAATCTGGCCAAGAAGGCTTGCTTGAAGGTGTTCCAATCTACCCACGTGTGTTTCCTAAACCAATCATGCGCCGTATTCCGAAGCAGCAAGGTGATGATGCGGGGAAGATCTCCCGCGCCATATCCTTGAGCTTCAACGGCTTCCAACCAAACTTCGGGGTGGGTGTGATTAGGAAAGAAAGGAAAAGGGGCGGGAATACAAACGATCACCCTGAGGGGGGTTACGTTACCGTCGCCCATTGGCCTAGCCTGTCTAGCCGCACCAGATCTAGATCTGGCCACGGGGCGATCCCGTCGAGTAGGTTGAGGACTTCTTCTACCTCTCGCCAATTCGACTTACTATCATCAGAACCGACACGTGTCGGCTCCGATACCAACCTCACGCCCCTCGCTGTCTTTCGTTCGGAGTGCTAAAGGTGCAGAATGAAGGCCCAGAAAAACAGCAAGATGGGGTGTGCCAAGGATTTTTGGAAAATTGAGTATGGGGACAGAGACAGAACTGAAATCCCCCGTGTTGGCCCGATGAAGTAAGTCGGTTGCTTTCGCGCGTCGCGGAATGCGCGCGCGAGCTCGGCGCGAAAAGAGAAAGATCCAAATTCAATCCAAACGTAGTGTTGAGCTTCCCACCGCGCTACGGATCTTCGTTTAGAGCGGAAGGGTTTCGACACACTTCGCGTATCCCGTTTCCGTACCAAGTCCTTACGTCGCTCGTTAGTCAGTTCCGAGTCCGACGTGGATGGTCTCAG